CCAAGACGGCCAGATGCGTTGGTGGGCTGACCGGAGTGATAAGTGGCGGCATCGGATTAGAAGGGTGCGATATATAGAACAAAAAGAGAGGGACGGAGCCAAAAAAAGAATGATATAAAAAAAGAGATTTAAACGGGTCAGAGTGTCGGAGTTCTACGTGACGAAAATCCAGACGCCCGCGTGCCTTCCCCGGATTATGGCCGGTTTGCGAGAATTCGAATGCACGGACGCGTTCACAGACGTGTACAACACCGTGTTGGATGGAAAAAAAAGTTCAAACACCTCGATCTAAACGTTGGGGGCCGAGATGCCCTATCAACCCAGCGTCCCGACACGCAGCATCCGCACCCTCCCAACCCACGATTAAAAAAGCGCAAGATGCCATTCCTCCACCCTGACACCCATAGCCACGGACCCACACATGCCGGCCATCATTGTACTCCCGGCGAACCCAGGATCGATGCCCTGGCCCTTGAGTATCGACCACTATCCACACCCGAACGGCACAGATTGAGAAGCTCTGCATCTACCCCGCCCGCCTTTCTCCCTCCTCCTCCCCTGTTTTTCTTTCTTTCTTTCTTTCTTTCTTTTTCGCGGGGATCCTCCTCCCCTGCCCTTCCCCCCATCCCTCTCAGATCCAGCTCCAGGAGTGACAGGAGCGCGACGAGTGCGGCGGCCGAACTCGCGGGATCTCCCCGGCGCTGCGCACCCCGTGTCCTCTCCTCTCCCACGGGCCACCTAGGTTTCAGCCTTGCCGCCGCCGATCAGGACACCCAAGGCCCCAAGGTAAAAGTCCAATCGTATTGTCCGTGGATCTCCGTGTCCTGTTTAATTCTTGTAGTATGTGGCAAAGGTGCTTGGCGTGAGCGCCCACAAACAAACCCTTCTTGCATCAGCTGGGTCTCAGCTTCGTCTTGTAGTTGATCTGGCACACTGGAAACTTTGTTTCTTCCATGTCAAAATTGGTATTTTGATCAAATGATTTCTAGTTTATGCGTCCCAAATTGATGTTTATGTGCAAGACATGTGGGCTTGTGTGTAATTTACATCTGTGGTGTGACTGTTTACAAGTTGTAAGAATTGATTCTGGAGTTGCTGCTGCATGTACGTAGTCGCAGATGCGTGTTTGTGGAATATACTTGTGTGCTATCCAAACAAGTCCCGAAAGTTTTTCTTTTTCTTTACACGGGAAATGGTTTCATCTGTGGCCAGTAAAATACCCCTGTATCTTTAATACAGCTGCATATATTTACATGGTGTCCAAGCAGGGCCTTAGTGTAGTATTGTGTGCTGATGATTTTTTTTGGATCCTATGTATCCCTTTCAGTTGGTTGGACTGATCTTCGACTGTGAAGGTCCCTATGGTTTTTGTCTTCCGAGTTTTGTCTTATCTTTGTTGGAACAACTTTTTAAGCAAGGTAAAATGATCTAGACATAGTGTAGTATTATAATCTGCTGCACAATGTTAAGAAGTCCTCGAGTACGCAGTTCGCTTGTTTGGACTGATCTTGGACCATGTACATGCCCCTACTGTTTTCATCTTTTCACTTATCCATGTTGGGATAATCGTGTGGAAGGTTGTGTATGCAGTCTAGTGTGATTGTGCAAGTCACGTTTGAAATTTGTTGCTGAGCTCTTGGCTATTATGTCTATTTTGCAGATCTGAGGAGATCCGCTTCCTTTTGGTCTATTTGTGAAGCAGTACACCTGAAGAAATGTCAGGAGGTCGGCAGACATATTGGTGCTTCCAGTGTAGACAGCGGGTTAGGCCGCGTGGACGGGAGATGGAGTGCCCTTACTGTGATGCTGGCTTTGTGGCTGAAATGGATGATGTCGATGCTCTCATGAGCCAATTTGTTGGGATGTATAGTGATTTTCATCGTGACCCAAGGTTCGGGATCATGGAGGCAATGTCTACCGTGATGCGACATGGAATGGGGAGCATGAATCGAGAGGCTGATGTAAGAGGAAGGCCAAGCATATTATCTGAACTGGAGATGGAATTTGGTTCGGGGCCATGGTTGCTCTTCCGTGGCCAGCTCCCCGGTCATCTCTCAGAGGCCAATAATGGTTTCGACGTTTTCGTCAATGGACGCCGTGGTGTTGGCATGCGGAGGGCAGATGTTGCAGATTACTTTGTTGGGCCTGGATTAGAAGATCTGATTGAGCAGTTGACTCATAATGATCGTCGAGGGCCACCACCTGCCTCTCAGTCATCTATTGATGCCATGCCTAGTGTTAGGATCACTGCCAGGCATCTCACTGGAGACTCGCATTGCCCTGTCTGCAAGGACAAGTTTGAACTGGGATCAGAAGCAAGAGAGATGCCATGCAAGCATTTATACCACTCTGATTGCATACTTCCTTGGCTAGAACAACACAATTCCTGCCCTGTGTGCCGATATGAGCTGCCAACACAGAGCTCTAGTGGTGCTAGCTGCTCACGCTCAAGATCAACCAACCAAAATGACAGTTCAAGCAGCTCAAGTAGCAGTGGAAGAACCAGTGGGCGTCAGAGGAGAAGGAATCCGTTCTCGTTCCTATGGCCTTTCCGCTCATCAAGTTCTAGCACTGGTTCTCGTTAGATTAGTTTGGTTACCTGGTTGGAGTTCACAATGCTATTTTAGTGAAGATGCTGATCAAATGGGATTTATGTGTGTCGCGTCTTACACCCAATATGTAATGTATGGCTTGTTATAGTCGCCCCACAAAATGGATTTCCTTGCAAGTATATAGTCATCTATCTTGCTAAATTTCATAGCAGCTGATCTTGTTTGCTTTTACACAAGTCAGTATAAACTTCTTATTTGAGATTTCAATATAAACTTTTTGGGGGTGAGAGGTCGGGTATTTATTCTCTGCTGTATTGGTTGTTTTGTTGTTGCTGCATAACACATACGTAGCAAATTTGTTTATTTGTTGCTGTACAGGAATTTTTGGAACATGGTTTCAAGCGCACCCGTTAGAACAGTAAAATAAAAAAATAAAAGTTTTTTTTAAAAAAAATCTGACGCCTGAGAAACCTGTTGATTGTTGCACCTTGAAATTTCAAGATATCCATCAATGGTAGCAAGTATGATTATAAAAATACCGAAGACAAACACTTGCCCACATAGATAGGCACTCCCTTCGTCCTATAATGTAAGAGTGTTTTTGACAATAGTTGATATTAGTGGGTTGACATGGTATTGACTTGATATTTGTTATTAGTACAAGCTAAAATTACGGTGGGATCTCATACTAGTGGATCCTCGAGCTGACATGAAAAAAAGTAGTCATGCCCGATTGCTCTTGTGATAGTCCACCGGCTTCCATCGGCGTCGGCCGCTCAGATGCCGTCGGCCACCCCCCTCCTACCCGTCCTTCCC